TTTAATTTAGATTTATTCGGCATCATAAAGAATTTACCTTTGTCGCAAATTTATTTTTGAATCTAACACCTCTCACTCCCATGAAAAAGGAATAAACAAGCTCGTCAGCACAGTTTCTACCCCACATCGCAATTTAGCTTATATTTAAAAATTGTTTTGGGGAGTATCCTAATGAACAACAACAAATAACGACGAAAGATATAGCTAATTTATTAACTAAAGATGTATTTAAATTTATTGATCAATTATTAATTGGTGGTGTGAGTCTGATTGAAATATTAAATTTAAAAACAACATTTTCTAATCATAGTATTGATGTAAAAAACGAAGTTACAAAATTATATTTGTCTCAGAGTGATGATAGTAAAAATCGATAACGACAAATCGAAAAAATATTTGAATAGTTACAAATATATCAATATTTTAGTTTCATATCAACAATTATTGATTGTATAGAAATATTTAAAATAATTGATGATAATAATCACTCAATCGCACAATTAGAAAATCTTAGTAATATTGATAATAAACGTTTAAAACATATAGAGTCAAATAAAACTTCAAAAATTTATATTCAGTGGACTAGATAATAGGCAATGATAACTAATTAAAGTAATATTAGAATGTAAATCTGTTGTATAAATATTTAAAACTGCTGAATTATATAGCAGACAAGGACGCTTAAGATTTCGTGAATTGACAATTTAACTACACAATTTCAATTACAAGAAAAATTTAATTTAATATTAAACGCTCTTATTGTTACTTACACCGTATGTGAACCATTTGTTTTAAAAGCAATAAAATATTGAAAAATGTTTTAAACGTCTATTAAGTTTACATAATATTGATGAAGTAATTAACAAATTACGAATTGTTAATGAAAATATACAATTTAAATATAAATAAGTGAATAATTGACACCGTTTTTATCATTTTATTAGAGACGTTTCGTTATGAACTCATAACATCACCACTAACGAGGGAACTGCCCCAAGTGTCCGCTCGCTTTTTTGTTGAAACCTAGTGGAGAATAGGTTATCGACTATGTTGATTCCGAATATGACAATGGTTTTTGCTGCTAGGCCTTCGGAGACCTGGTTTTCTAGAAAACCAGTTTTTCGGAAACCCCAAAAAATAACCCGAACCTTTCTTAATGAGGCATGATTGTACCCCGCACATTTCTGATTAAAATGAGACCTCTCCCAACTCTACATGACC